AGCATGTGCTCGACGGCAAATAAAGTTGCGTAGCTCTTGCAGGATTTCTGCTACTCTTTCCTTTTCGCCCGTTGTCAAGGCAGAGTTTGGAAGGGCCTCTTCGACTTGTCTTGTTACTTTGAACAGGATCTCATGGACGTCTGAGAGGACAGCAGTGTCTGACTCAGCCTCGGAAATAGCACGGGCAACTGGCTGCAACACGTGGAAGGTGCTTTGCACATCTCGCCAAAAGTAGTCTTCATCTAATATCGTTGATCTTATTTCCCTGCTCACTTGAAGCTCCGCAGCGATCACAGTTTTCTGTAAAGCTTCTTTGTTCTTCAGTAAGCCTTCTAGTGACATCAAAATGCCCGCCCAGCGAGTTTCAGCTGGTAGTTTTAATGTGGTCTGGTTTCCAGCATAGCACTCTTCTTGCCTCTTAGCAAAGTGAGCCGCAACCACGTGAGAGTTTCTGACATACTTGATTACAGTCTTGGACCTCTTGCAAACTTCTTGCAATGTCACCAGTTTGAGCATGTCCGACAGCAACAAGTTTAGTCCATGAGCACAGCATCCAAGAGTAGTGATGCTAGGGTAGCGCAGACTGACGATTGTCCACGCGGCCTTCATGTTGCTTGCATTGTCGGTAACAAGAGCGAAAACCTTGTGGGTTCCAATTTTCTCCACAACCTTCACAATCTCTCCCGCGATGTAGTCTCCTGTGTGCCTGTGATCTTCCGTCTCCACGGCGCTGTAGAAAATAGGCTTCGGTGTAGCCAACACAAAGTTCAAGATGCTCTCGCCCCGTACATTGGTCCAGCTGTCCGTGAGTACAGTGACGCACAGAGCGGCGTTGACTTTCTCTTCCACCTGCGTCATCACTCGGGCATACTCGGCCTCCAAGAGTCGTCCACCTAAAGAATGCCTGGAAGGCGGCACGAATGCGGGCCTGAGGAGCTTGAACGCTTCTCGCCAGTATCTGTTTTCCGTAACTGATAAAGGCGTTCCACTGGCATATATCGCTCGAGCCAGCGCCTCATCAAGCTTGCTTTGACACCCTGGCGTCATTCTGTCAACGAACGCTTCTATAGAAGTTCGCTGCTTGACATACCGGTCGGCCTCATTTTGAGAGCTTGTGCTTTCATTTTCCACAGGTGCACGCTCTGACCGTAAAACTTCCACAGATGGGCTCCTGGACCGACATGCCCCAGACTCTGATCTTGTCGGGTCGTCCGATGCTGCAGACCTGATGTCCGGGGGGCACTTCGAGCACCTTTCGATGTGCTGCCGCAAGCGAGTTGCGTTGGGAAATTCGTATTTGGCACAGCAAAATCTGCACACTGCTGGCCCCTTACCACTGTTTAGCACGTCAAAGTTCCTCCAAACGTTGGACCGCGGCCTCACCATAGCGAACAGCGCACAGTTTTCACGGATCCACGGCGAAAGTCCATACCCGAGAACGATGCGCGCGAGGTTTGAGAAACGGCGCTGTTCAAGCTAAAGCGTTATAGCTGCCCTGGCTGACCTCTCCACGGCGCACAGCACACAGTTTTGACAGCTCCACGGTCCACGGCAAGTGTCCACACCAGAGTAAGATGCTCAGAACTTTCACTAAGGGGCTGGGAAAGCTAAAGTGATATGGCTCCTCCGACTGCCCGTCGAGAGCGCGAACGGCACCGGCGGGAACGAAGAACTGCGTAGGTGCTATCGGTTGTTGCCAGATGAGTAGTCAATGCTCAGCTAAATTGACAAAAGTTGTCGTAAATGTTAAAAAAGGTGATATAATATAATAGTTCACCGTAAAACTGGCGGAAATATCTTGCGGTTGTTGACCTCTCTCGATATATTTCGAATCAGTACTGAATTATAGCTGTTGAGAATATTTTTCGAATGTTTCCAAAACTTCCGAAAAAAAACTTGTTTTTTCCGTCGTTTTTTTCCGGCCTTCAAAATTTCCGGAAATTTTACATCTCTAGGTAACACCCGATAACAAATATGGCTTTGCTGCAAGCATTACTCTATTAGCGCTACCCAGAAACTATAACCAAGTGTGGATCTGGACGAGAGTATCTGTCACCACCCAAGGTTAGCCCTTGCCGCCAAAGAAGTTCAAAAGGAAAGAAGAGAAATAAGAAGAGTGAAAAGAAGGAGAGGACAAGGGTGAAAGAAAGGAGGGGATAGTAGAAGGAGTGGCGACTAGACGGAATCATCCTGGCCGGGCCTTACCAGGACTCCCGTCTATGGGAAGGAGGGGCCGAAGTGGAGTATTGCATCGCCCGGGGGGCCCCGAAGTGTCCAAACCTACCCCGGGCTCAGCTCAACAACCAGGATGCCCTTTTCCCCAGACAAGGGAAAGCCACGCACAGCAAGACGTGGGCGGGTGAATCCGCGTGGCTTGGGGTCCGTGGTGACGCCACTCACCAAACACCTGCTTTCACAGGTGCCCCCTGCGGGGCCATGTGCGTTTTATCCGCGATGAGGGATGGCGGTAGGGATAGCAAATGACGGTCATATATTTGACAAGAGAAAGGGGGGCACAAAGAATAACTTGGAATCTGAAAACACACAGGATAATGTTATGTAGTACACCAAAAAAGTTATAAAAATTAAAACAAGAAAATAAACTATAACCCTGTGGTAGATTCAAACCCGTGACTCCCTAAGCCTATAAAATGAAAGGATTACACAACAGACAACCTGATTACAAGGGAGCACAAATGTGTCAGGCACGAAGACTCCTTATGAATCTCCCCCCCCTCCTCTCCTGGATCTGGTGCATGCACTCTTCGCTCGGTATCGTCTTTATGTAAAAAAGGAACATTGCTTTCAAGTCACTTGTGATATGAAAGCTAACGCAAGGAACAGACAAAATCACCACCGGCTTGTGTCAGGATGCAGCCTCTGTAATACCACAGCAGCCTATACACTCTTATATTTGCAGTGGGATGACAAAGAAAAAACGGATTCTGAATTCCAAAAATAAAATAGATGAGATATTTGTGTACTAAAGGTCCACGTAAAAAAAGGACATGGGGAGGAATCCGCTTTAATTTAACAAGGCATGCCACAGATTAATGGAATAGCCTGCGTCCATTATTTCAGTATTATTACTGTTCACAAAAAGTATCTCATATCCGCGTCTTTCATCGTCAGATAACGATTTGTTTCTCGAAAGTTTCACTGAAACCAAATAGCTGCAGGCCTTTACCATCCTAAAGCTGCACGTCTTTAATGTATCAGGAGCGGACACACACGTGCAAACGCTTGCCCTATTGCTAAATATAAAGGTCACCTGTTCCCACGTAAAGGTTTCTTGACAATTTTATATCCTACTAAGACGGGGAGGGTACAAAGATAGCAGCCTACGCTCCAAAACTAGCAAGCGGTAACAACTTCTACCACCAAATGCATTCCCAGTACTGACCACTAGCATACCAGAATTCCCCCCCCCCCCCCTCCCCCCGCCTTCGAGTGCCTGCAAGGTCTTCCGTCTAAATGACATGAGGTCGCATGCAAGTCATCTACAAAGGGGGAAAAATGACGTATCTTTTATAATAAAAGACAATAGCAAATCAGTTGAGATGCAGTGTTAGTGGTCGATATGTCTTGATATCTGTGCCGGTCATGTTTTAGTAAGCACCAACAGCACTGAAACAGCCGACTTTTGTGTCCACGAGCCAAAGCAATGAGATGGTGGAGCTCGGAGAGAGCCCTGATAGAATGCGGGTCGTAGGAGACAGCAGCCTCCGGATGGTTGCGTTCACTCCATAAAAACATAACTTCTAGGTCCCGCGCCGGACTTGACTCATCCACCCAAGCGCACGTAGTTGCGCCAGACTACCTCCCAGATAAGGGAGAGGGGGTCTCCAAGTTTGTTCTGGAAACTTGAACGCAAGGCAGCATTGAAGAGATAGAGGAACATATCCCAGTTCGTCACACGACACGGGCGGCGGAGGCGGCACATGAGACCTGAATGCAGACCTAGATGGAGGGGTTAACGATCGCTACGTCAACAGATCGGTTCTCGATCCCGGTTGATGGGGACATCTACAAGTCGTAATGACATATCGGTAGAAGAGGGAGAAAGTTGAGGGTAGGCATCACGAGATGTTGGCACGTCTCGGACGTTTAAGAGGATGAATTGAGCGTCCACACAAGTGTCCATTGCACGTAGCCGTTCTGCGCTGGTAGAGGAGTAGCCGCAAGTCGAATGTGGAGAATTAAAATCAGAAACCACCAGTACCAGGTGGCCAAAATACCTTTGGCGCACATAGCGCAGTCAGCCGAGGCGGAGGTAAGCGACTCTCCCACCTTAGGGTCGCACATAATACCATACTGGAATAACGTCCATCTTAGGCAACCGTACAAGTACAGATACCACTTACTGAATTGGGCTAAACCCCCAAGTCAGGGAAGTGGGCGTCTGAGGGTACTTAGTGTGCGCATAAACTCCTGCCTTGCCAGGAGTTGCTGAGGAAGCGGTTAAGGACTATCGTAGTGTACAGACATTTCTAGAAATAAAAGAGTCATTATAAGTAGTCCTTCTTTTTTTCTGGGGTGGTGACCGAGACCGCTCTGAAGCCGAATGTCTACTTAAGCCTTTAGGAACAGCAGATATGCTTAACAGAACGAATTGTTCTGGATTTTATGGTGCAAGTTTTGAGGGATGTACTAGTTAAAAACGGATATTTTAGTTAATCTGAAGGTTGCAACTAACAAGTGCCCTAATCTAGAGGCGCGAGCGTGATGCACTTGTGTTTTATGTATTGTGTGCATCAAAAGAAAAGTTGAAACATGCACACATTTCAAATTAACAATACATTTATTTACTATATTCAGAAAGTTGCTTACTTGCTCTTGTTAATGTATGCTCTTTAGGCTTCAAGTAGCTGCAGTTTAGTTGATTTTTTTTTTATTTTGTTTTGGAGAGAAATTCCTAAACTTGAATATCGAGTTTTCCCCAGACACGGTTTTTATGCGATTTGAAGAGACATTTCTAGGTGGTGGTTGTATATTTATCTTCAGCCATTTTTCGGTGGGGTCGTCGGTTCGCCGTATCGGTCGTAGTAGCCGCACTCGCCTCTTACGCACCTCTAGAAAATAAAACATACATTTTTGTATATTTTATAGTTTAAGTATGAGACGTATTCAAACTTAGCACAGACGAAAAGTGTTTACAAACCCGCCCTTTGCACTTGCTTTTTATACCGTATTTAGGGGTTCCGCACTATCACATTTTGAATTTACTTATTTCGAGCTATACTCTAAAATATGTGAAACCCTTACGGTATCAATTAGCTGATCATAAAAAATGCAGTTTTTGTTTGCCATATGTTGAAAATATTTGGCATACAATTTCGCAAGTAGTCTATCCATTACAAAGTCGATCACTTTATAGACTTCATAATAACAGTTTTGTCAGTAAAGTTGCACACTGCTAAGATAAATGTATTATATTAAATGCAAGGCGATTTCTTAATATCATACTCAGTGAAATATCTCTTTATTTTCAAGGCGCTGAGCTCTGCATTTCTCAATCGTTGTGCGATTGACTCGCACCCTTTCCTTCTTTACATTCTATACGCTTTTCTCCCGAAAAAAATGTGCGCATCAGATGAAAGGTAGAACATTGATTCTTAGATCATGCACAGCATGCACGAGTACGACAGAGGAAATTAAAAACTAAGTCTTTTAGCCTCACATTTAAAAAAAAACACTAAAACAGTGTTTGGTTCACCAGACCCAGCACTAATATTTGCCTCAAAACGGGCAACAAATAAAGCACAATAGGAAAGCTACCTACGTGTGCGTCTGTTGCTTTTGTTTTAATACGTTAGCAGTAGAACGCTCGTTTTGAGGAAAACCCGTCGGTGTCTTTCGCTTGTTAGCACGGGGGAGCGAGGGAGAAAAAGGGGAAGAGGGTGAGGCTTGCGACGCTCCCATTAGTCGGAAGCGCTAACGTCAGCACGAGTCAACCTCTCCATCTTTCCCCGGTGATGGCAAACTGGCAGACACCGCCGGATTTTCGCCAAAATGAGACCTTTCGTTTTTGTTCAGTCACGCGAAGAGCTGGCGAGGAGCCACAGAGGAGGAGGTGCCGGGCAACATCTCCTGGAAAACCAAGCGGTAGTGCTGAAAGAAATGGAAACATTACAGAAAGCCAACGCTAGACAGATTGAGAACGAGTGCTGTGTCAGTGTTTGGTTTCGAGTAAAGTTTGAGCCAAACGTTGACACAATCGTACTGTCCAATCTCTGCCCAGCGTTCACCTTATCTGATGACGTCATGTCATTCTGCACTACAGCTTTGTTATCTAGGAGGTGCAGCGCAGCGGCGCAATGGAATGCGGGCGCGCTCAGTTGCCACTCTAGCGTCTCCGGTAGTCCTTCGCTCTGGGTGTCGGCAGTAGCAGCAAATACCGTGGAAGCCAATACTGGCAACTCCCGCGGAAAACGGGCGAAAAGTGATTGCAGCGCCCCTGGCGAGCTCGGAGTCTCCGCTGGCAGACAAATTCTCCGAAATGCATTGGTTTTGCCTATCTCCGTGCGAGGTGACCAAAGAAAAAAAATTGTCACGGACATTCGCTGCCTTGAAAGTTAAAAAATGGGTGCCAGCTCATGAGTGAAATACATTCTCTTCGCGTGGGAAAGATGTTACAGCTTTCTGGGTGCAATTTCGGAGTTCTCCCGAAGAAAACATTCTGTCACAACTTATGTAAGCCAAGCAAGACACGAATGTATGCCTTCGCGCTGTTTCGTGAAAAAGGGAAAGGTACAAACATTTCAGAACATAGCTTCGTTTCAACTTTATTGTTCTTATCAGTCAATTCGTTTTGTCGTTGCAATTCCCATTTCTCATGAGTGTCTTGCTTATAACCGTTTTGTCGAACAGGCGAGCTGGCTAATCCCGTTAAGATCGTCTCCGGATGAAGAAGCAGAAGTCAATTTCGAACCACGTACGTTACGGCGATGTCAGTATGCTCCGAAAAAAGGCGTTGTGCATATGCAAAGCTGACGCGATTATGGGTTAACAACAGCGGAGTTACGAAAAAAGCAGACTTCTCGCGCTTGAAAAGAAAGAAGGGGAGAGCGTCGTAGCCCCGCGAAAAAAAGATGATTTCAGTCACGTTATTTACACTGCACAAATTCCGATTGTTAGCGCGGGGACGACCAACATCTTCTGCTTCGCTGCTTCTTTACTTCTACGATAAAGGCCGACCCGTTGAACCGTCTCCACTCTTTCCATTTTTGAGTCTTCTTTCTTTTATATTTTTGAGGCGACGGCACTTTGCCGCCTTCTTTTTTCCTCCTGCTTATATGTTGCTGTGTATATTTTTTGTTTGTTGTTTGCTTTTTTCTTTTTTTTGCCCGACGTGTAAACAATCGCGTATCCTTGCTTTGTTTGGCTTAGTTTTTACTCCCTTTCCTTTGCTTCGGCGTTTACTACCCCCGGTTCGTCTGCGCTAGGCCCGGGCATTTTGAGGGCCGTCTGCAACTTTGCTGTTGTGTTTGTTGTTTTCTTCCACTGTCGTCTCCGATAACCTCCTGTTTTCGCCTTCGATTGAGTTTCTAATCCAAAATCGTCATACGTGCTTTTTGATATTTATTAAATATATTAAGAAGTGTAAGCTCGTTACCCATTTTTATTCGAATTTTATTTGTGTACTCCGGCCGGCACGTCTGCTACGGGTCATCGTTTGTTGATCAACCGGCCGCATTCAAGACAAAGTTTGTGCGATGTGATGGAAAATCTTTCTTCTGCTTCCTACATCGACCTACGGACATCTACGTCAACAAGTACTTGAATGCACTTTTAAACTGCTTCGTCAAGCGAGCGAACAAACAACCCGCCAAAGTCACTGGAAAAAGACATTCGAAAGCAAAAAAAAGGTTACTGACTGCTAGCACATATAGAAGATTGCTGCCTGCGACCAAAACATTTCTGCGACTCTTTTTTACCGGGCAGTGTGAGCTGCACTACGTTATTTATTTCCCCTGTTTTGTTTTTAGTTTGTACCTACGCCGCGAAAGCAAATAAAGAAATGTACAACAAGCAGCTGAAAAAAAAAAAGGGTCGCTTTCTTCTTTTTTCATTGGTTTCGTCTGTTGCTTCCGCTTTGTTTGTCGTGAACTCAACACCGGTGGCGACCACCAGCTATTCATATGCTGCTTTCCATTTTTCTTTCTTTTTTTCTATAAGCGCCGCAACGTTCGTCGTCGTTGAAATAGTTTTTTGCTAGCTTCTTTGTTTTATTCGCCGTTGTCCGCTTCTCTTTCCCGTTTCTTCTTATTTTCGTCGGGAATGGCGACACCATTTTTTCTGCAAAGTTCGGTAAGTGTTTGCACGTTAATTTTTATCCTTACTTTTTGTTTTGTTTTTATGCTCCAGCAGCTCGTGCGCTTGCTCTGCTAATATTAACATGTCGTTTTTGCATGTTTTAACGACTACGACGTAGTTCGAGTAGCTAAACGTCTTTTTTCCGCTTCCCAGACGCGTTTCAAACGCGTGTGATCCCCTGAGAGGCGTTTGAGACCGCTAAATAAACTGCTCTCTCTTTGTTTATGCGCGCGTTGTTATTCGATTGTCGTTGCAGTTGCGATCAGTGGATTCCGCTTTGCAAGCGAACTGACCGTAATAAACTGTTTCTGTTGTTAGGGTGACGATACGGGGCTTGTAAAGCTCGAAGACGTCGCGGAGCCTATACTTTTCCATTGCGACGACCGCTTCCGTAGACTCCGAGTCCGCTAGAGGCGCCACTGTCACGTTCGCCGCCGCTCCTATGTGTTTTCGGAGGAGTTTCCAGTATTGGCGAAGCTATATTGTATTTGGTAGCAGTGCGTGGGCTCTGATGTCTGTGTGTGGTTAAAACTATGATTGCGGTTCTCTCCAGGAGGGATATGGACGCGGTTCTTTCCACGAGGGATATGAATGACCCTATCCAAGGTCGTCGACGTACTCTGACAGCCAGAGTACAGAAAAGAGTTAAAACAATTACAGGAGGATGTATCGGTGGATTCAACTTGAAAGTGATAGCATGACCCTTCGTAATAGTCACACATGTCCCACTTTGAGAAACGCTACCACTGACCCCGTAACGAGGCAAAAAAGAGGCCGCAAAAAATTGAGGAATCAAAAGAAAAAACTAGAAACAGAAAAAAAAAAAAAAGAAAAAGTGAAGGGGTCGGCGTTAGTTGTTCCCGAAGGGGTGTGTGTGTAGCGTTTCCGAGCGTCATACTAACGCATTCACTAAGAACGCACCAATGGATCTTCCTGTAATATTAAATTCATTTTTAAGTTTGCTGACATTTCTTGTATCTTCTTTCATGTATATTAGCGAGACTAAGATTTATGTAAGTACCCTGTTGTTTCAAACGCTACCTGTGTATGCTGAGGACTGAGGGCTTGTTGGGATATAATTGTGCGAGGATAAACTAAACCCCTAAATGATCCGCTATACAGCGAGGCCTTAACATATTAGAGGGTCTCATATTGAAGAGAAATGACTGCAGCTACATACGGCAGCACGCAGAACGTTAGACATTGATTTTATTATGTCAAACCTTGGCACAAATGTTTAATAGCATGTATTCTCAATGATAATGCAAACATAGACAAATAATCTCCAGATGTTCATATTACTTATTTACTTATTTATTACTTATTTACGCCCGCGGTAGACGGGGGAGAGCTTCTCAGTACTTTTACGAAAGGTTGTGCATCATATATTGCACACAAAAACTAAACGATAGTTGGATTACGCAAATGTCATTTTCATGAAAATAGTGCACGTTTTCAATGTATGTCTTGCCTTAGATTTATTAGGCTTGTCTAAAAATGTATTAGTATGGCACATTAAAACAAAATTGACGTTTAAATACTTGTCATTAGGCGGAGGGCTCCAAGTACGACCAATAAATGTCGTTATAAAACGTTTTCCCAAAGGTGAGAGAATAACACTAGAGGCTCTTTTAAATGACGCTTGCTAATAACAAGTAATCATGTGTGTGTCTGTTTAGGGCGCTCATCATTTTTAAGGCTTGTTGCATATTGACTGAAAAATCTTGTATACGTGTTTTTTTATTTCGTATACGAA